GGGGGGGGGGGGGGGGGGTCGCGACACCTCCGGACATTATCTCGTTCCGGCCTCACTTCTTTGTGCCCTGGGCTGCGGGAGGCGCGTCCCCGGAAAACCAAAACGCGAAACCACTTCACACCACACAGCAGGCTCAGCACTTGCAACCCATCTGTTGCTGTGGGGCTGCATGTCTGCTATTGTAACCAACGCAGACGGTTGCTATGCCATTAGCTATACAGCAGTACCACGGGGTTGCCCGCGCAGCAACCACTCACTGCTGTATAAAGTTCGTAGCAGCTCTCTACTGCTGCTGCTGTGCTTCTTGTCGGTTATGAACCGCAGTAGAGCAGGGTCGATGTACAACCCTCTCCTCCAAGCGTGTGCATCAACAGGTACAACCGCACATCATGCGCGCACGCGTAACATACTGAATCGTCATCACAGCAGTTGCTGCACGTCCCTCTTGGCTCGTACTCTCTGCTCTACTGCTCGCTCTCTGTGTCGTGCTCGAATTCACCACGCTAACTCTCAAACTGCTGCTGTGGGGCACGGGACAACTGCATACCCCCTAGTTACAAAGTGTGCAATTTCAAACGGACGGCAACACTCCTCCTGCCCGGCTCGCTGCTGCCGTCGACGCTCGTGCGTAGCCGACTTCATGTATCGCTGCCCGGGTATGCACAGAGTGCAAGGGGTAGGGTTCGAAAGGGTGGCCGTGTGGATTCCTTCTAGAGGGTTCTTCGCCCATGGTCAGGGGTAGACCGCCGTGTCCAGGGGGAAAACTCTAGACGGCCTGTTCCTCGTGTTATCAGACGATGTCTTGCAGGACAGAGAGTTAGCAAGAGATTTCCCCAAGAAGGCGTTCCAACCGCCCATCGATGCCATCAACGCTCTATCTAGCCGACATGCGACAAAAGGCACCGGCCACTGTTACGGTTACGGGTAGAGCAGTTGCGTACACTACACTGTGGGACGAAAGACGGTCATACGAAGCCCCAGACGGGTGGGCGGGTGTTGTGTGGCCTGGAGTTCTGTACAACGGTTTGGGTGGGCAACGCGTGTCGGGGGGGGGTATGCATTGTGATAGCAACTCGACGAGTATTGTCGCGTTGCCTGTCTGAAGCTTTCCAGTTTTATAGCCGTTAATAAAGTCGAGGGCGCACACCGCGACACGCTCGCCCACCAAGCACGACAAAGAGTTCTATACACAGAGTAGATGACATAAGATATCACACCCCGTTAACAATTTTTGATTTTCAAAGCTTGATTACTCCACAGCAGAAATCGTGGCCGGGCAGCGTTGGCACCGATAGCTTTCCGAAACAAACCTATCGTTTGACATCCTCGTCGTCGTGGACTAACATTATTAGCTGTGAATATTGATGGTGCGATATATTATGTCACCTACTACTGCCGGTACATGCCGTGCATAAGAACAACGAGCACCCTCCACACTCCAGCAAGTAAGCTACTGTAGTTGTTGAAATGAAACCTCTCACTACCCACCCATGAAGAAGTCGTTTTATACACAAATACTTAACAAAAAAGTGCTGCAAAAACTATCCATGGACGAACCCAGCAGTGCCGTTGCTGTTGTCTTCACAATTAATTACAAAAAACCGTTCGTTCTGTTCTCTCTACCCAGTACCTTCTTGTACGCGGTCGATTCCCGCCGTGGTCACAGGCTAACTTATCCAAAAAGTTATATGATAAAATGGTCCCGAAGAAGGGTCCGCAAGTCAACGACAAACTAGTCTAGGACCTTCCGCTCGCTTCAATACGCTATGCGAGGTAGTAACTATAGACTGGACAATGAAGCAAACAATGAGCAAACAAATGTTAGAGGCGACCTCACGCGCACCCGAAAAACCGTCAGTCTTCGACCGGCATATCTCACTATGCCCATCCATGCGCATGCACTTTTTTGTGGCGAGGGACTCCATGTTTTCAAGAATCATCTCCTTGATCTGTTGTTTTCGTTTACATACATGTAGTGCGCACGTCATTTCATAAGAGTCGTATTGTGGAAGTGGCATGAACTTCCCTCTGCATGCAGGTCAGAAGACCACCAGTCCCCGGAGCTCTTCTGTTGGACCCACCCATGAACGGAGTAGTAGTAGCGCATGTCCTGTAGTAGACAACTACTGCTGAAAATATTCGAGACCACGAATGAATCATACCCACAGGTGGGTCGTGGGTGAGCGGGGGACCCTAAGAAACAGTCAGACTCAGCCAGTTTACATCCTCATAATTTCTTGCAAGCAATAACGAAGGGCGATCACAAAGGAGAGACCGCCAGCGACAGGAAACAAAAAAGAAGTAGAGGAGAGCACAGTTAAGAAACAAGTGAAGAAACAAGACCCCCTTGCCGCTCTGACCCACTGGAAGCTTTCCATGTACCGCAGCAAACAGCCGGGGCAGCACCCACTACCTCACATGCAGTAGCCGGATACATGCACGGATTGGTACGTAGTAGAAGTTTAGTCTCTTTCTCCGGCAAGAACAGTAACGCTCGGGCGAACTTGAACGTGTAGTCACAAGAAATAGCGTCATGATGACGTAATCCATTCTGCTTGCCATGGGAGATGCGCATCGTTACGCGAGGAAGGCGTTAACTCTTCGCATAGAATATGCTGCCGTAGACCCTATATCCTTCAAGCTCAACTACAGCTACACCCGATACAGGGTAGCATCATATCCAGCTGTAGAAGAATCGAACAAAAAAACTGTTTTTTTCGTGGCGAAGCGGACCTTCTTTATTGTGACTCGCCAACTGCTGTTCGTGGATGGCGACGACATGGCGACACAGACAGACCAAATCTAGGGTGTGAAGTCGGTCTTATCCGCCGCTGGAGGTGGAAGCTATACTCAAAGTCGGGGAGGGGTCGTGATTTGCAATTCCCTACGGAACCGTACTTGAGGCGCCATGAGGTTTGCACTGCCGTAGCCGAGGTTATTTGTCGGCAACCAAACTCACTCGGGGCACCACGTCATGGACATGGCAAGAAAAACATACCCCCAACAAAAACTGCTGAAATTCATGGATGGGTGGGTGAGTGGGGGACCCCAAAAGAATGAAACAGTCGCGGTTTCGCGTTGTTCTGCGGCTCTACCGGCGAAAAACACCGTCGACGCTCTGAACCGCTAGAAGCTGTCACGCAGCACTGAATGTGCAGCGAACTGTGGGGGCCGTGCGCATTGCTTGACGGAAAGAGGCGGCGCCCATTGCCTCACATGCAGCAGCCGGGTACAAGGGTAGCCTCTCCTAGTCAGCAAGACGCAAAACGATTGCCGTTGACGTTCGATGTTATTGGGGACCCTAACGGCGAAAATGGAACAGAGAGAGAGAGGCAGACCAAAGGAAGAGAGACTCGAGAAGACAAGGCATGATCCCTAGAGAAGACACTCACTTTCATCCCTCTGGTCCACCGCATGCTTGAACACGTGTAACGAACGGCGACATCCGATGTTCGCTCGGCAACAACAAACACGACAAAAGAATAATAGTCGTCGTTTCCGAACTGCTGTGGAGATACTGCAAGTTGGTGGAGACTTTCTTCCTTTTCTGGTATGAAGTGGCAAGAAAGAAGAACACGACTATCTGTCTGTGTAGACTAGAAGCACGACGGACGACCTATTATCTCAATGCGCTCTCCGTCGCGATAGATGCGCACCGCTACCGCTATACGAACGAGCAGACTGTTGTCAAACCTGACTACGATAACCGTACGACCATTGCAGCACATTCCGACCATGACAGCAGAAACCGCAGCAACAACCGCATGTGTACAATGGTAACTCAAGAACAAACGCAAAAAAAAACGAAATGTGGCGCGCAGCACGGAGGATCCTTTTTCGCTGTTCAACCGGCCGTTTCCATGGCGAAACGGGCAAGGAACAGTCAAGGCGAAACGGGCAAGGAACAGTCAAGGCCGACTCTTGCCAGCCACAGGAGGCGGAAGCCGCTCAAACTCGGGGACGGCTCATGACTTGCGATTCCACACCGAACCATACTCAAGGCGCCACGAGATTTGCACTGTAGCTCGAGATCAGCATTTGAGACCGGGTCGGGCAGGGGTGGGGCATGCGAATGAAACTTCCACGGATATTGAACGATGAGACTGAAGCTAAAGCTTCAAAATTCCCCAAGCCTTGGACATGTCGGTGGGCATGGTACAATAGGATGTGGCGGTGTGTTGACAAGTGGAATGGACGGGGTGCGAGTAAACCGTCCGGGGCCCATTCATGAACATGGCAAGTAAACACCCCTCCCAACAAAAAATAATGGCGGGCGGGTGGCTGGGGGACCCCAACAAACAAAGCATGAAAAAAGAAAAAAAAAAGACAAGTGAGCCAGGCGCGACAGGCATGAGGGAGGAGGTAAAAGAAGCATAGAAAACCCACCATGGTCGTCGCTCGCTCTGGGCCGCTGGAACATGTCACATAGCACTGCATGTCCAGCATTAGACCAAGTCCATTGCTTGACATAAAACAGGTAGCGCACATCGCCTCTCATGCAGCAGCCCCGTGCACGGGTAGTCTCTTACTCAGCAAAATGCAAAACCACTGCGGTTGACGTAGTTCGATATTGTTAGGACCCCACCGGCGAAAGGCGAGAGAGAGAGACAGGTAGACTAAAAGAAGAGAGCGGAGACAAGACAAGGCATTCACTCTCGAGAAGACACTCACTCACTCTCGTCCCTTTGGCCCACCGCAGGCTGTCAGACAACTGTACCGAACGGCGGTATCCGAAGTGGGCTCGGCAACAACAAACACATCAACCACAAATCGCCGAATTGGAACTAGACTAGAGTAGTGCGAACTTTCATCCTTCTGTGACGAAGTGAGAACAAAAAAACATGACTACACGGACCAACTAGTCCGTCCGCGATAGATGTGCACCGCTGAACAGAGCAACAGACTGTTGGTTGTCATTCCTCATTTTCTGTTGTAAATAAGATTGTGCTGCCATCTACCTTATCGCTCAAGTTGCGACTGACTACGCAGCAGACTCAAAAAGCATCAACACCCTTATTCGATGTATGCCACCCATGCCTACGCCGCTTAGACTAATACGATGCATACCACCCATGCATATGCAGCAAGAGAGAAAAAAGGCCTGTTGTTGTCTGTCTCAACTGTTGTGCTGCTGTTGCTTTTCATGTATAA